TATGAGAAGCTGCTTCTTGCTCCCCAGGTCTGGGGCATGATGTAGGGCTACTCATGGTTTCATGTGTTATGTGGGATCAAATCAGCAGTCCAGCTCCATGGTCAGAATGAAGCTATGGTGATTGTCTCACAATATATATAAATATCGAATCATTATGTTTGTACACCTGAAACTAATTAAAATGTTATGTTAATTATACCTCAATTTAAATAAAGAAGAAAAGAATGAAGCTGAGCATGACACCATGTACAAGTGGGCCTACAGGTGGGTGGTTAGCTTGGATCTTTGTTGCAACATCTCGTCTCGGCTGGCTCCACCTCTCAGGCAGTTCCCCTGGCCTGGTCCTCTGGCTGCTGAGGCTGCGGAGCTGGAAAAGCACCCGCGATCCCACCCGTGCCAGTGAGTGAGGGTCCCACTCCCCATTTCTATTCTGTAGCCTCATTCTTGCCCTGCTTAGCTCTTTGGAGTTGACACCTTATGGTATCTGCTTCATTTTCAGCTTTGGTGATGTCCCTTTATGCTGCTTCTCCTTGTCACCCAAATCCCAGGCTAGGCTCCCACTTGTTTGGGAGAGGTGGAGGTTTGGACACAGAGGGGCACCGGGGAGGCAGCATGTGTCCCTGTTTCCCTGCGTTAAGTCGAGCCCAGTGACCCAGACAAGTCTGCTAAGAGCAACGTCATCTCATTACATAAACTTTCAGTAATCTAAAATGATGGGCTTTTGTTCCCAGTAGAGGTGGTGTGTGTGTGTGTGTGCGCATGCGTGCGCACACATGAGTGTTTCTAGTCACTTGGGTAAAAAAAGGAACATTAACTTAGATGGTAATGAATGTGAAATGAGGGCTTAACATCTCACATGGCACAAATGACTAAACAGAAGCCCTGAGCCTCCTCATGGAACACACGTTCAGCAAGAGCTACTGTAATAGTGTTTGGTTAATGTCAGCTCAGCATTAAATTTACATTATACTCTTGTGAAGAAGCTCCAACATTACCTGTTAATAACCAAGGCAGTACCTGGGCTTATACAGACTTCTTCATTTTGCACATGAACTAACACTGCAGCTTGCTGATGAGGGATCATGTGAGTTTGGAGATTCTGCGTGCCAAAGGATTTTTGTATGAATAAAAATTCTGGTCAGTGAAGGTCAGTTTCTCTGCTCAGGCGAGAACAATGTTGTTTCCCTTCTAATCAGACACACACAGTGTTTGAAGAATCCAGGGGCCCTACATAAGTGATATGCAGCCCTAGTCTGAGCAGCTCCTCATGCAAGAAATGAATAATCCTTAATAAAGGCTCAAACGACCCTGGCTTCTTTCTGTACTGTAATCAGTTGCTTTAATGGTATGCCCTTGAGTGCCTCACAGGGAAAATGCTATAAAGTTAAGTTATCTTCCGTATCTTGCTTCAAGGAGGGCTGAATGGGTCCAATCAGTCCTCCCCCATGTTGTATTTGATTCTGCCATAAAGACCACTGGAGTCAGCCTCAGTTTGTTGAAAAGCCAGCATTCCCTTTCTCTGTCAGGCTGATCCACGCCTCTGAGCAGCAGTGGACGTGAAACAGCAGGAGTCACCATCTTTATTGTTAGGCTCTGGAATTTGTTTTAGGCACATTCTAAATCCAGTCTTATGCCTTTTACTTTTTCTTTTTTTTTTTTTTTCTGTGACAAAGGTGACCCAATTGTGCTTCTTTGATATTATGAACACAGCTCTTTTTGCTCATATCACAGAGGCATGTAACAAAATACAAAGGATAAAATTGTGTCTGTGCGTAGTAAGGACACAAGTTTCATGACTCAATTCAATGACATAATCCAAAAGGCGGCGTCCTCTCCCAAGTCATGAGCTAACAGGCGGAAACCACCTTTCAGAGTATTTTTTTTTTATAATGCTGAGATACTGCTCAAACAATAATAGAACTAATGAAAATGTCACATTGACAGGGTAGCCTGTTATTAAGATTTTGCTTCAAGAAGGCACGATTCAGTGAGTGTGACATTGACAGCAATAGTGTCAGGGTTTACAGAGTTGATAAAATATTCCAAGAAGAGTGTGATACAGTTGCAGTGGGAGTGTATTCTTTTCATTTATTTCTAGAACTAAGTGGACTCCAGTGTTCAGGATTTTAGCCTTCAGATGTTATTTCTGCCTAGAAGAGGTATAGGGAGCTTCTTAAATATCATACTCTAATATAATACTCTAATACAATGCTTCTAAGAAAGAAATTCATTTAACAATGTGGTAAAATGCATGTGCCTTAGGACATTTGGAAAATATGCAGGTAGTAAAACTGCATAATGCTAATGCGTTTCTCCATAAACAAATGTGCCATGTTTAAGTGATTAAATACATGGGAAAAGGTAGAAGTGGAGACTAACAGTGGAAAGAGAACTAATTTTAAACAGAATGGTTGCAGCATCACTGAAGACTCAGCTCTCTGGGTTAGATGAACAAATATTCCAGCAAATCTGGAATGAGTAGCAACTCTGTTTACTATGACAGGTTTTATTTGTCTTGGGTGCAACCAAGACCACATGCTGTGTTTTGTCATGTTGGAAATACTGAAGCAGATTTCCTTTGTGAATGTGAATTTTTTTTTTAAAGCCTTAACACCCCAGTCTCAACTCAGCTAGGTAGAAGCAGTAAGTTCTCCTTTCCTTACCAGCCAGACATCAATAAACCTTAAATCCCTCCACCAAAAGCATGTAGCTGCGGTTCACTATCCTGGTGGCTGTCTTAGGTCACTGCCATAAATGGCCCAATCCTTCTCATTTCCAAGAACTATCTTTCTGTCTTTAACGAAACTAATCTTTTTGTTTGCTTTCTCCCATATAGTACAGCTCCTTTAATTCTATTCCCTAGGAAGATGTGCCACTGTGGTTATAGGGCTTTCCCAAAACCAAGGATGCAGAAATTTTTACCTAGTGTAAAAATGGCTAATATTCTACCTTCCCCCCTCATTTATATCCTGGGTAGACAAAGCCATGCTTAGAAGCTGTTGTCTCCGACCACATTCACCTATTGGAGTTGCTGATTCGGCTCAATTTATGGAAAATGTGTATACCAGGGCTTAACACTTAGTTGAGAGTAGCACAGCATACTGTGAAATTGTTTAGATCCACTTTCCATCTTGGAATAATGGTGGGTAGCAGATCCTTGCAAAGTGCTCATCACATTCCCTTTTTATGCGTTATCGAGATCATTTAGTTAGCAGGGAGATCCAGGGAGAAGTGGAAGTCTACGAGTTTAAGAGTGAAGGAAAGATTATTGTTTTCACAGATCAGAATCCAATCTTTTTGTCCTGTGGTCTTTACACTAGTTTGACAGGGGTTGGTATTTTTCTCTAAAATCATATCATTCTGTTTGAAATGAGTTTAAGGCTACTCTTACCCTAAGAAGCCTAGTCAGAACTAGAGATTAGCACGTAATTAATATAGTCATGCTCTGTGGAGCAGAACAGGCAGAGATCAGAGCTGGTAGTGAAGGGGTTGGGACCAGCTGTAGGGCCCTGGCCCACAGTCTTGTGGGCACCCTGAAGAATACTAACCTTTAGTCATGACATGAGCTCTGCTCAGTTAGTGACCACTGTGCACAATGAGTGATCAGGGTTAGAGGTGAGACTAAAAAGGTGGAGAAAGGTTCACTCCAATACTTTAAATATTCGAATATCTGGATACCTGCTATGTGCCAACTTAATTATAGATGCTCAGGGACACTGGGGCAAACAAGTACCTGCCTCTATAGAAATCACATTGTAGTAGAGGGGGATAGAGGTAAAGAAATCATTTTAGCAGTAAAAGATAAAAGAAAACTGTAGCAAGGCCTAAGGATCCTGGAGTGTGGTGGGCTGGCCAACCTTGGTAAGGTAGTCACTAAGGCATGACCCAGGCCAAATGAGGAGAAGCTACTTAGGAGCTTTTCATGCGGAAGGACAGCAAGTACAGAGATCCTGATAAAGAAATTATCTTTAGGTATTCAAGGAACAGAAAGGGAATCTTTATGGCTGCAGCTTGCCAAGATAAGGGAGGGGAAAGTGAGATGAAGTTGGAGAGAGAAAGTACAGCAAAGTTAAGAAATGAAGATCCCAAGAATGAATTCATTTTGAGAATATTGATAAATGATAAAGTCAATGGTGCATATGTGTTTTAAAAATGAAATTATCATATCTGTAGTTTTAAGGACAAAGCTGGAGGCTCAGTAGAATAAGTAGGAATAAGTAGGCTGTCTTATATCGAGCAAAGAAGCAAGATGAGGGAGCTTCAAAGCCTAGTGTTTGACATGCTGCTATTACCAAGCTGTTCGTATTGGAGTATCTCCAGTAGTAACAGTAGTACATTTGTGTATGTTTTTTAAAATGATGGCAATCTCCTTTTAAAATACTGAAGAAGTTGAGTAGATTTTTGCTTTTGACAAGTCAACTCGACCTAATTCTCCCCTATAGTTCCTCTTAGCACAGCTCTGTGTTTCCCCATCTTTTGCAGCAGAGTGGGGCATGGATCTCTTAAGTGACAGCCTTAACCTTCAGCTGGGGACTTGTGCTCCTTACTTACTGTTCCTTTACCATGACGGTGGCTGTGTGTTGTTGAATGCTTGCCAATAAGATAAGCTATCTCTGCAAATAAGAACCATCTCAGGAAACCCCCCCACCCCCCATTTTAGGGAATCATCAGGATGCTGGCACAATCTGCAGGTGAAACTTAACTTTGTATTCAAATTAACAAACCCATGCAGTTTGCTTGCAGAAACCAAGTGATTAGGCACACAGCTCATCCATAAATATGGGTATTTTCCCATTCTAAATTCTGTTTTGTTTGGAATACAGTGAATGTTGAGGCATTATGGAGACTTGCCAAACATCTGGGCCTCTCTGACACTCCTGGAGTCCAAGAAGTAGTTCTCAGGTCTTCAAATTCCATCACAGGCTTGCAGCTTACTGTTCATATTATAAACAGCAAAATCTAGGGCACATAAGTTTACTGGTCTATTTTTCTTTTGGCAGAATTAAGATGCCCTGGTTTCAAGGAAATAGCGTGCAACTTGCCAAATACTCCCTTCAACTCCTCATGAGAAATCTCTCCGCCTCTAAGACCGTTCTGCCTGTGCTGACCTTATTTACAAAGGTACAGAGTGAAAAAGTAAAATTACTACTTCAGAAACAAAAGGTGTTAAATTGTTGAATGAAGAAAGTTGTACGTTTAAGAAGGGTGGCGGCAGGGGGCGAGGGGGGGAACGTTGAAAGGAAAGCAATGGAATAAACTGTCCTCAGACCTGTCCCTCCACTTTTCAGTTGCAGTTACAATGGTTACTAACTCTGGTTTCTAGCCACGTGCCTCGTTGGCTCACACGTTTCAGTGGGTAAACTAATATATTTAATAGTCTCCCGATCCCTGCACTGGAAGGAAGAACTATCAGAAGAGAGATGATGTTTATAAATACATCACTTAGAAATATAGTTAATTCTTGTGATGGGTATGTTCCATAAAGTCACCACAAACACTGAATTAGTGAATATTAAAACAGTGCTCCCAGGGGAGGTATAGGGTTAGATTCCAGTGAGCTGCTGGTCACAACATTTTTGTCAGCTGATCAATACGTAGCCTTGTTTGGCATGTTTCTGTTTAAAGACACTTTATTTAATATATATTGTTGATTCATTAACATCGAATTCATGGCCAACAGTGCCATATCTCATGCCTGAACAAAGTTTATCTAACACAGTATTTTCTCCGTGAGGCATATCACAGCCTCCTTACGCTTGGAAACACTACACAACACTTCAGCACTCTGCTTGGGGACCATTCTAAATAGCAAAGTCAACAAAAGTCACAAAAATGCAAAAAGCATGGCACCCAGTAGATCATGAAAAGGACACTTGTTGACAGTGCGAGACCTGAAACAATAAGGCGGAACATTGTCTTATTTGACCTCTGCTGGGAATGTGCACTTAGGGTGACTCGGATTTTTCACTGCTCTGTGCATGTCCTCAAATGTCTGTAGATGACCACAAAAGTGCCATAGATACTGATTTTGGGGTTACAAATAGATTTTAGTGACTGGCAAATTTGCAAATATGAAAGCCACAAATAACAAGGATTGACAAGTACAACTGTCCTTGTTTTCTTATCCCTAACACGAGTTTTAAGCCATAGCTGTTTAAAATTTTTAAGAGCTTTTCCCCCCTGAAATTTGTAATACAAATATCACCGATTTCCTTTTGCTACTTAACATTACTTTGTGTGATATATAATCAAAAAAAGAAATAAAGCACAGGGTAATAGACTTAACCTTAGTGAATAATACTCCCAATTCAAGCAAAAAAAGTTGTCTTGTTTAATGTTTTTCAGATTGCAGGCATTTTAGCAATCTGAAAATATCTGATGGGTGTCTAATAACAAAGTTTAAAATAGTTTTTTAAAATTGAATTTCTTCTTGAGAATAAACTGCTTTTCATATCCATAAATATATATTGCATTGTTGGAAATTATGGAATAAAAAGAATTCATCATCTGTGTCTACATATGAGAAATGCATATGAGAATTAGCCACAAAAATAAAATAATCCCTTAAGGTTAGTGGTACTCACTCAGCCTAACTATTCTGCATTATTTTTCAGTTTGAACGACAGCCAGTTAACTGAAGACCTCTGCAAAAAAAAAAAAAAAAAAAAGCCACACTAATCTTCCTAGCTTAAAATTTGTATTGAATCCTTGATTTGTGTCATTAGGCATATAATAAGATTGGCCAATCCCTGAGCCAAGAGGGATACAGTGCACCTGACTGCCTCAGCCTAAGTCAAGTGTTCTACCCTTTTTGTTCAGGGCTGTAGTCAGCCACATGCTGAGAGTAGTTCCTCTGAGGCAAAATCCACAGCCTTCCTGCTACCAGAAAGGGGAGTGGGCTGGCCAACCCAACAAATGTCCATTCCATTCTAGGGATAGAGTAAGTACGTGGTCTGCTGGTGCCGTGGAAAATCCTAGAGAAGGAGGTTTGAATGGCCCAGACCACGGGGTCTTACCCTTTTACAGTTCATAGGCCTCTTTAAAACTTGATAAACCTTTCCTAATAAAAATACATATACACAGGATAATTTGCACCAACGTCCATGATTACAAAAACAAAACAGAAAACTTGATCTAGGTTCAACTGAAGTTTTTTACCATGAAAGCAAAATGTTGGTACATTTGGTACTTTTAGCTTGTTCTTGTTTGAACAGCTTTTGCTTTTAAAATCTTCTGTTGACTTTTTGAAACTTTCTTAGAAAATTTCAACGTGATTATCTTAAAACATCACAGACTATCCATAATCTGTTTCTTGATGAGGCTCGTAATAAATGATGAGCCTAATTCTCTGAACCAGGAAGTTAGGGCCAGAAAGACCCTAATGAAGAAAAACTGCCTTTTGATGATCTGGGTCCTTATTTCAAAACAAGCTGGGAGTTAAACTGGAGGAGGGGCCTTTCTTTTACATAACAGCTCACCTCTTCCTGTCATGTTAAAAAGCAGGTTTTCTATAAGCATCAGTAATGGCGAGTCTATTTTGAGCTCATGCAAGAGAACCTACAGCTAGTAGCTGTTCCTAGAGTCTAGGGCTGAGAAGAGTTTAAAATCTGCCAAAGATCCATAGCATTCTCAAAAGACTTCTCCACTAGACGGTTAAAGAAGATAAACAACCGGCACTAAAACTTGCTTGTTCCTCGGGTGGAGAATTAACCTGGGAAGCCTACTGCTGACACTTGCAATGAGAAAACAGGCAGACCATTAAAGAGTTGGTACAGTCATCACCCGAAGTAAATAGGGATTTCTCCCTTTTTGATGGTGGGGCAATCACTATCTAACTTCATCTCAATGAGTTTATTCCTGTGGACTGATGAGGAAAAACAGGCAGGCAAAGCCCAGTGCCTCCACTTCAAAACAGACTTTAAGCTGTTCTGGTGATGTCAGCCAGGCCAGAAACGTGTTCCTGACACAGGAAGGACAAAGCCCTGAGACTATAAATCAATGAAAATTATCTTCCCTGATATCAATTAGATAAAGTCAGTGACAAAAAATGTAAGCATCTAAATGTAGTGTATGTGTATGTATCTATGTGTGCATGTATGTAATACATTTAGACGTATGTGCATGTATATGTGATAGGTACATACATGTATATAATGTATACACACATACGTGTGTAACAAGGGTAAGCATCTAAATTTATTATATGTGTGTATATGTATATCTATAAATAGATTTATGGTGAAAAATCAAAACAAAACAACTAAAAAATGCTGACAGCCCATTTACCATGAAACACTAGCTATTTATAAGATTCTATGGCAATGTTTTGCTTTGGAAATAAAACAGTATAATTAAACTGGTAAAAAAAAAAAACAAGTCCTTTAAAATAAGTATAATCTGCTTCTTGTGGTTTTTGTCAGGCTGCATGCCATTCCTTGAATTTAATGGCTTTATTTTTTCCTTCCCGTAGGATCCATGCCCCCTTTGTGATGAAGCCAAGGAAATACTGGAGCCTTACAAAAACAGGGTAATACAGGCTCCCCACTCTCCCTGAAAGTAGAGCGTTCCTATCCAACCTTCACATGCCCAAGTGGAGTGAAGCAAAGAAGCAAGTAACATTCGTTTACGGAGAATTTTTTTATCATTCCCAGACCCAAAAAAATAACCTCTCTCAGGCTTTTCTGATACTTTAGGACACCTCTTGCTGACGGAGGCACAGAATAGACCGAGATAAAGCACAGATGCTCACACAGTTCAAAGCTCTAAGGCCTTGGTATTGAGATGCTGCAGGTAGGCTCCCAGGGAAGGAGCTTGGCGGTGCCACTCTTGCTGCTCAGGGTAGGCACTGCCTCTAGAATGGCAAAACAAACACCGAATGCTATTTTCACAAAAGCAAAAGTCCTTCTCAGGTTTTTTTTCAGTTAGCGAAACAGGTACTAATGTAGGTCTCTCGTAACAGCCACATGGCCTGATGCAAACTTTCGAAAAGCAGGGGAAACCTGCATAATGCAATGTGCTTTATGTATATGGAATGGATAGCATATGTGATATAGATTATCTGCCTGGATCCTTTCTTTGGGAAGAGATTAAATGATTTTTCATTTAAGTTTTCTTTCTGTTCTTCAGAGAGAGATTTCAGTGCTAATTTCCACAAAACTCATTACCCCTAAGTGTTTTTCTCTGAGCAGTACTGGTTTTCTTACTCTGACTCTTAATATGAATCAAAGCTAACTAGCAGGTGCAATGTTCATGCTTTCTTTAAACTTGTGTCCCCATTCATTTTATCTTACTCTATCATTTCCATGGAAGTGTTTTCCAGTAGCGAACCATGACGCCTTTCCCATCCTCACATGCAAAGCACATCTGTCCTGATCCTCAGCTTCCCGGTTGGGACATATTTTATTTCACCGGGAATGGAGTAGTGACCCGACACTGAATGTAATAGGTGTGACAGCAAAATAGCAAAACCGAGAGTTAAGGAATATAATGAAATCAGTCAAGTTGTGGAAATCGGGGACGTGAGATCACTGGGGACCTCAGACAGGCAGACAGCAGCAAAAACCCTCAGCATGAGAGCTAGTCTGGGCATCAGGTTAGCATCGTGGCTGTTGTATCATTCCGTGCTCTCTAAAGTACAGAGCTTCAGTCTGTCTCTGTTTCAGTTTATTTTACAGGAGGTGGACATCACACTTCCAGAAAACTCTGCTTGGTATGAAAGGTATAAATTTGACATCCCCGTCTTCCATTTAAATGGCCAGTTTCTGATGATGCATCGAGTAGACATCCCAAAACTTGAAAAGCAGCTCCAGAAACTTGAGCAGCAAGGTGCTGGAAGCTGGAGGACAACTTCATGAGCCTCCACCCACTCTTGTCCAGACGGCGTCTTCCTAAGGACATGACCATGGCCTTTCCCGGCCTTAACAGACGTTCTGAACTAGGTGGTGCCCAATATATGGTGACATTATTCTTCTGACTGATGGAAGTATGGGAACAGTGTGGGAACTGTTTACCTGCTGGCATTTTATAAAATGAGAGGAGGCTATTGGCAGCAAGGAGATAATGGAGGATGGGAGAAATCCATTTGTTTTATTTATTTTCCCTTTTGTATTAATATGGAAGCCCTTTCACATTCACTGGACAGTGCAGTTTATAGGAAGAAGGTTCTGCATCCCTGCTGCTGCCCTAAGGGCTTAACTTTTTAATGAAAGAATAAATGCTCTTCCACTCAGTAGATAAAGTGAAATGTGAATTGTTAATAACTGTGCACAGTCAATAAAGGGGTGTTTTAACAAATACATCTGCATGAAGCCTATTTCAGTGGGATTTAATAATACCTGTTTAAAATTAGAATTAAGGTGGGGGGGGGAGAAGAGAATAATTATCCTAGTCAAAAAGGCTTCATTTGAGAAAAACAAAAGATTTAAACCTCCAAAATGTGTATAAGAATCTCAAAATGCTTCACACGTAGTGAATTGATTCATAATATTTGAGGGCTGCCTTTGATAGTTATTCACTTGTCATCAATTGAGTTAATTCAAATTGTAAAACAGTATCAGGTTTTAATATCTTGGAGAAAATTCACTTCTGAACATAACTGGACAGATATGTCATCTAACGATAATACTCTTCACCATTTTATATAAAGTGTTAAAAATGTAATTGTGTATCCCTATTTATATTTAGTTAAGTTCAACCAATATAGCAATAGATTCATTTAAACACAGAATTGCCTTTTCCTCTTAAAATCACATCACTGTAATTTCATCTATAATGAAATTCTTTTGTGAACTATTTTAATGAATTTGGATATTGTGAGTCCCTTGGCTAGATTTTAATTTGAGCAGTATGATTTAGTCTTAGAAATTCTAGAATATTAGAACTGGCTAACTTTATACATTGTGTAGTCCTACCCTCTCATTTTATACAGGATGAGAAATCTGACATTCAGAGAGTTTCAGGGACTTGGCCTAAGGTAATACAGTCAGTCATCTGTCAGACCAGGTCTTGCCACCCACCCTGCATTTCCAGTACTACCTGGGCTCACGGTAGGGATATTATTGTGTTATCTCACACACAACATCTTCAACCATTCTGGACTCAACCCAAATTTGGGAACAACTTAAAAAGCATTCCAAAGGGACAAGAGGAAAAAAAATCTTATAATCGAATAGCAGTGTTTATAATTTACATATTTCTGGAACACATCTTATTTGATATTATTCATTTAACCCTGTGGCAGGCAATATTCTAGGATGACCCTAATGAACCCTCACCCTTGTCTAACTCCTTTGAGTGTGGGGGGAACTCACTGAATATGATGAAATATCACTGCTGTGGTTATGATACATCAAATGGCAAAAGCAAGATTATCCTGGTTGAGCCTGATCTAGTCAGGTGAGCCCTCTAAAAGCAGAGAGTTCTCTCTGGCTGGTTGCAGAAGAAATCAGAGAGATGTGCTCCAGCCAGCCTGGAAGGAAGCAAACATCAATGTGGTAAACTTCCTACTGGGGCCAAATGGCAAGAAACTGGGTGGCTGCTAGGAACTGAGAGTAGTTATTGGCCAGTAGCTGGCAGGCAAATGGGGACATCAGCCCTACAGCTTCGAGAAACAAATGCTGTCAACAATCATTGAGCCTAGAAGAGGATCCTAAGCCCAATATGAGAACCAGAGCCTGGAATAACACCTTGATTTCAGCTCAGTGAGACTCTGATCAGAGCATCCAGCCACACCATGCCTAGATTTCTGATCTACAGAAACTGCAATAATAAATGTGTGTTGTTTCAAGCTGCTAAATTTGTGGTAGATTGTTACATAGCAATAGAAATCTAATTGCAGTCCCTACAACACTGAAACACAATGGCAGGTGGTGGGAGTACAAGAATGAATGAGTCCATGTCTTAGACCATCAGTGTCTTTTGGGGAGCAAGGAGAGGTAAGTTAATAAAGCACTACAATGTCGTGCAGTGATGGCTGGAACTGAGACATGTATAAAACGGCACAGCAACCAGATGAGGAAAGTAGCAAGAAGTCTTCACAGAAAATTAAACTTAAAACTAGGTTTTGATGGTTTAATAGAAGAACTAGATCAGGGCTGAGAAGGAGGAGGAGGTTCCATCCTGAAGGAACAGCATGTGGAAAATAAGAATATGCAGGGCTTGGCATACTTAGGAACAGCAGGTGGTTCTGTGTTGCTGGAGTGAAGGGGAAGGGAGTGAAGGAGATGCAACCAAGTAGATTGGGATCCACACTGTGAAGGACCTCAGGTAATGTGATGCACCACCCCCCCGCCCCCGCCCTTGCAACCATGGCCTCCTTTACTTCCTGCCCTCATCCAGAATAAGCCCTGTAGCTCCTGGTTCTTCAGGTGTATCTGGCCTCTCTAACCCGCCTTCCTTGGTCCTTGTAGTCCTCAAGCATGCTAAGCCCAGAGGCACTCTCCAGTAGCCCTGCAGGACATTCTTACCTTCAAGACAACTGGGGAGAGGGGGCCATAGAGAAGATGGCCCACTTGTGTGGCTGGGCATCCTGTGTTCCTCCCTGCTCCAGGCACCCTGAGAGCTGTGTGCCCCGCTGTGTCCTAGGGTTGCTGATCCTTCTCCTGGGCCACCAGTTGGAAAAGTTCAAAGTTTCAGAGTCCGCTGAGCTAAGAGACAATCCATGGGCTGGCCTAAGACCTGGAAGTTTGTTCTTTTGGAGCACTTCCTGCCTGAGTATAAGCATATGTTATAGGTGTACAGGAAGTGCAGAGGCTTCATCCAAACAACAGATTTCTGACATTAGAATTTCAAACAAGTAAACAAAAACCCATTGATCCTTATAGGGGGTTAAAGTGTTGGCTGGACCCAGCCCGGACCCAGTTAAAGGAGTTACTAGATCGCATAAAGACTGTTGGAGACTGAGAAGACAGGATACTTGAAGGATTTTTTTTTTTTTAAAGAAAGATGTGCTCTCATTTCTCACCAAAGTAAAAGATTGGGATCACCTAATGTCAAGAGAAATGGACGTAAGTGGGGCTCATCAGAAAGCCTGATGTGTGTCCCAAGGTAGGAAGAACACCACGGTCTAACTCTGGGCTGGCAAGTCACGTGAGAGATGAGCTAGCAAGCCACTCCTGCTTCAGAGTGATGGAGAGCTGTGGGTGCTCTGCGTTTGTCCAGAAGAACATGAGTGGATGTTTCTTCCTAGATCAGATGTGGGCCACATGTGAGAGAGAGGGCTGGCTGGGGGAGCCTCAGGACAGAAGCAGAGGTAGAATCCTGGGCTCCTAGGGGCTGAGGAAGTCAGTAGCTGCTCACAGGGAGAGCACATCTGCCTAAATCAAGGGAACTGCAGGCAAGACACCTCCCGAGAACCCATGAAAGCTTCTGTGAAATGTCTGCTATGAATGGTTACCAGGCCCGGGGAGCTGGAGGTCATCTAACAACTTCAGCGCTCGCTGACAACACTCCCGCCCCTGACCACGTTTTTTGCCTTCCCCCATCTCAACCCTAGAAGAACCAGAGCTTCCAGGAGTGAAGAGAGAAGGGCCTTCCCCTTCCACAGTGTCCCTGCGGCACGTGGCTTCACACTGTGCTCCCTGTAAGACAACTTTAAAGCAAGTTCTAAGTTTTGATTCTGACGTAGGAACAGACAGACAAAACCCAATGTGAAGTGACCATGGGCCTTTCTGTGGCCTGAGAATATGCGAAAGAATCCTGACACTTACTATTGTTTTTCATTTTTATCCTGAACAGAGTAAGAAATTCCCCATTGAGCACATCTTACAGGGAAGGTGGGAGACATGAATAAAGATGCTCTCTGATTGTACTCCACATTCAGAGTATCGATTATATGTGCCGAATGTTGTTTTTTACCTATAAATCTTCAATCAATCTACTTATTAATTCACATTTGAGAGAGGAATATGGTCATGTAACTAAGAATCCTGGAAACCTTCAGCAATCCCTGTTTCAACAGCTGAAAAATAGAAAGGCAGATATCTGGAAACATGGCATCTAAAAGGTGCTTTCATTTTCCTACTATTGATAAGTATCAATGTTCAGTCATTTATTATAGTCATTTTCATACTTTTCCTTTCTGAAATTATGTTTGCAGGCATCAATTTGTTTTTACATAAAGACTAATTTTGACACAAGCAGCTCATCATAATATTCTCCCACCCCCAAAGGAAACAGTAACATAAACTTCTCTTTTTTCCCTAAGCTAATGCTTTAAAATGGAGTGGATAAACACTGAGTTTGGGACTGCACATTACCGCTCTTGGTTACAGTGCTGCTTTCTTCCAGATGTCTCATATAACATTAAAAGGGCTTACTGGAAAACATATCACTTTGGCCGATTTATTGCAGGAAGCAAGGGCTCACTCAGACTAGGGCTGCCTTGTTTGTTTATAATAATGCAGCAACTCATGGAAATGTGACAATGGGAATTCTGGGGCGGGCCTCAGGAAGTACCCTTAGAGAGCCACAGAAACGGAGCCAGCCCCCCTTATGCAGTACCTCGGCCTCTTTCTTTCCCTCTTCCCTCCTGACTCACCAGTTCCCCTACTTACTCACAGTATCTGCTTTCTCATAAATGTAGCTTGCTCATGCCCATCATTTCTGCTGATCCTTCTGTTCAGCAATACAGTGATCTGAATCTCCCAGCCTTGCTATTCTGAAATCCCAAAAGAGGGATTTTACTCAGCTATATTTTATAGCCAGCCCCCCAAATCGTGGTAGCTGATCAGAATGACAGCAGAAGCCATCCTTGGGTCAGGCACCCATCCTGGACCCAGTCAGTTCTGGGAGCCAAGATCAGCTGGTATGCAAATCAGTCACTGCCCCAGTCACTGCCCACTCAGCAGAGATGGAAGGCATGGTTGGCAATGGTCAGTAGCTCAGGTACACATGCAGAAAGTTTAAGAGTATGTCACTCCATTATATTCAAGAGAAATCAAGAGCAATGGTTTAGTAAATTGATTTATATCCTACTCATGGGAGTGATGAGGACTTGAACCAGGGCAATGGGAGTTAGACAGAAAGAGGTATCAGGACATGTTTGGGAGACAAGTCGACAAAACTTCATGATTGACTAGAGGGCTGTGGAGGTAGGGGGAGAGTAAGTAGAAGAAAGCATGGAGTTTGGGATGACTGCCAGTCTTCTTGCTGTGGCTATTGAATAAATCCTAGTACTTACTATTCCCTGACACAGAGAGTATAAAAGGAAAGGGAGATTAGTTTTTGGTTGTCCTTGGTGGATGGGAAAGATGGGACATGGTGAATTTGCCATGCTTGTGGGATATCCAGGTAAAGATTAAAGTTGGAAGTTCAAATCAGAGGTCTGGGCTGGAGATGCAGATTTGAGAATACCCAGGATATGGCTGAAACTGCATCCATCTGGCACCGGTGGAAAACAGTGAGCTAGGACTAAGCCCTGGGAAATACCAAACTTGACCACATGGATAGAGAAAAAGCCAGTAAAGGAAAACGAGAATAAGAGGTGATAGAATGAGGAGTGAAAAAAGGTCATGCAATTTGTATTCTTTGCTGCCTTTGATTATATGATAGCACCAGGCACTATTCTGAGCAGGGAGGATAGAGCAGCAGATAGTCAAGGGTCCTACTCACAGGCTTGCATTCTAGAGGGAGAGAAAAACAATAAAGTTATTACATCAGTGGAAAATAGCCATATCTTGAAAGTCAGAAAAGCTTTTCCCAGAATAGCTATATCAAAAGAGCTAGGATGAAGAATTAAAAGAAGACAGTGGATTTGAAAATTATATAGGTCCTAATCCCAAGAACCTGTGAATGTTACCTTATATACAAAGGGACTTTGCAGATGCCATTAAGTTAAGGATCTTGAGATGGTGAAATTATCCTAGATTATCCAGGTGGGTCCAAAATGTAACCACAGGTGTTCTTATAAGAGGGAGACAGAGGGACTACAGAAGAGAAAGCATATGATAGGACAAAGGAAGCAAGAGGCTGGAGTGATACAAGAAAGGGGTCATGAGCCAAGGAATGTAAGTGGCCTCCAGAAGCTAGGAAAGGCAAAGAAATAGATTCTCCCCTAGAGCCATCAGAAGGACGACACCCTGCCCAGTGAAAGTGATTTAGGACTTCTGGCCTACGGAACTGTAAAAGAATAAACTTGTGTTGTTTTACACCACCAAGTTTGTTGTAATTTGTTACAGCAGCAATAAGAAACTAGTACAAATGGTAACTCGACTGTATTGAGAACAATTTTGGTGGGGGAAAGGAAGAAGATACAGCCTGAAAGAAAACTGCAGTAGGATGATGAGTGGAAGGGTCAGAAAAGATTACTGAATATCTATCTTCAGGAAGTTTTCAAACATAACTTGTTTAAAAAAGACAACTAAGAGAACAAAAAGCATCAGAGAAGAGCTGAGGACTTGATTAACTGATTAGCTCAATACCCAAAAATGACAAGCCATGTTGGGAAGTACCATAACCTTCAGGCCATCTTAGAAGAGCTAAGCATTCGGGCAGCAGAGTTCAGGGGTTTCCAGAGTGACTCGGACACTGGCGAGTAAACCATGGCAACCCATCCTCATCCACAGACGCAGGTACTGGACCCGACCCAGGGCTCTTGTTCAGCACAGAGACCAGAATACTTTGACACTGTGACCCAAAATCCTGCACCTGGCACAGATTTTATCTCTATTAACACAGAAATCCATGAGGAACATTGAGGCACAGCCAACAGAGATTGGTCTCATCTGGCCGGTCGTTCATTTAGGCACTGATGTTCAGCATTTTACCTCCCCTCTCAGGTTCAAAAAGGATGAGTACCAAAGCCAACGTACTTTGGAATTATAAAGGCTACAAGGACATAAACCTTCAGGAGAAGGGGAAAACATTAAAATCATACAAAAGATGGAGAAGAAAAGCTCATAGAAGCAGTGCCAGCCAATAGATTAGACACAATAAGAAGAATCTAGCCACAAACCCACACTGAGTGTCAAAGCCATCTTTCCCTCATGCCCAAATGTTATATTTGAATTATTCCTGATGGAAAGCTTTCACCCTTAGAAACAAGGTAGGACTAAGATTAATTGAAACTTTTCTTAATAGTTCAGAAACACCAAGAAATAGAGAGGATTCAAGTTAAAGGCAAGTTCAGCCTATGGCTACATTGTGCTACTCACCATTCCACAATGCAACCCAACTCCCCTGAGAACCCCTGGTGGGCTTTACTGCAGCACTGCATTGCATAGAAGACCCTGGCAATGATCCCAGGTCCTCTTGACAAGGTCAACCCATGCCCTGCCCACTAAGGGAGGAAAGAGAGAAATGAACCATGGAAACCACTTCCCTCAAAACTGGGTTGAAATGTACAAGTGCATCATCATGGGACTAAGTTAAACTATCAGCTGAGAAACTCCCTTGTTCCTTGACCAGGCAAGGGAGGTATTGTCATATCTTTTTTGTTAGGAATGTAATGCTAAGAAGTAAAAATGGGCATCTATTCATGACCTGGTTTAAACAACAACAACAACAACAACAAAAGAGGTGTTAGAAGTTGGAAAGGAACTGCCAAGGAGCTAAGTTTCAGGATTTAAGCCCACCACCCTCTATGCTCTCTTTGTAAAGTTAGCCTCAAAGTAAGGCCCGCATCACTCTTTTAAGGTCAGTGGAGATTAAGACATTCAGAAACCAGATTGTGGGATTGATTCCCATTGTGATTGCTGACTTCTAGTATCAGACTTTTGTTCTGCATGACAGCTCCCATCTTGCCAACTAGCAAGATTCTTGAATTTGGCAAGGATCCTGCTCTGTGAAGCATTTTCAAGTTGGAGTTTTTAGCAATGCCACATTTCTCTAAGCCAGTAATAAAGAAAAGGTTGAGAGGGCAAAGGAAACCATGGAGTTCTCACCTAACAGCATAAAACAACTTCCCAAGCGGCAGGTGCAGGCCAACATGTCCAGGGTGATCATAGTCTTGAGTTAATGAAGGTTTTTTGTGTTTTATTTTTTAAATTTCTTTACCTTACCAAGTAAGTGCAATAGCTAAAACGTAATTAGCTATTCCCCCCCCCTTAGCTTGATTCATTTAAAGTGGTATTTTCTATTTGTATATGTGTGACTACATAAAAAACACAGGATTGCATTTCTTGATATGTTTTATAACCTCTACACAAAGTGAGACCAAAGAATGCCTTCGGGAGAAATAAAGGACACTGCTGTCATTCTACATAAATTTTCCAGGAGTAAGCAAGAGTGGAACAGATAATTACAAATACTGAGAAAGAAGCATCACTTTGCCAATGGTGCAGAGTCTACAATTATGTGCAATTCCCTACTTAGACTTTTTAGTTATGTTCAAAATTGAAAAAAAGATAAATGATTGGAAGGAGCAAAGAGAAAGGGGGAACTTGAAACACTGAAAGCAAGGAGTTCATTGAAATGGAGATGTCGCCTCACCTTAAGGGGGCAGGTAAGAGTTTGGTAGTCCCACTGGCACTCTACTGTCATTTTTTTTTAAACCATGGATTTGGGATCCTTATAATCTTCCTTATTGTTCTGAAGTCAAGAATGGTTTCTTCTGCTCACAAAACATGATCACTTTTCATTGATTTTTTTTTTTAATGCTCTGACTGGTTTTGCATATCTGGAAAAGCTACATCTTCAACCAGTAGAAATAAATCTCCTTTTTCTTCTCTGCCAAATCCATAATATGATCGTTTTCTATCACTGACAGCACCATCAGATAAGTAGACGTGCCTTGCTTGATTAGAAGTGTGCTGAGATTTTTAGTAGGAACAAGAATGTAGCTAGAGACCCAGATTAAGACATGTTCAGCACACCCTACAAATTCTTTTCGGTTCTGTCCTGGAGGTGTCCCCTCAAGTCCCAGCTTGACTGTGGGACCCATTCAGGGCTGACATCCTCCCAAATCAGGTGTCCCAGGGAGGGGAGAAAGGAGGACTTTAAGATGGGTTGCCGCAGGTGACGTTTAGATGAGACTAGATGGGTACAGGGTGTTGGTCTCTTCAGATCCCTGGGGTCTTCTCCAACCCCTCACACTAGAGATGAGTTTACACCAGAATAAATTGGGGAAGGGGAGGCATATCTGAAAAGGAGCAAACCATAGTATCACTCAAAGGCATCAGAAAATAAAGTTTGAGATTCTGCAACAGCACAGACTTTTTTCTTACTGCCTTTCATCATTTGTCAGTAAAATGTAGAAAAGAAGGGGAATAACAGTGACACCACCTAGAGTTGTATGGCATTTTCTATTTTTCCCCAACTTCTATTTTTTAAACTACATATTTTATTCTTTCAGCAATCTGTGATATAAATAGAGCCAGTATTATTATCCTTATTTTTGAGATGAGAACAGTGAGGCCCAGAAAGGGGAAGCGACCTCCATCAGGTCATGCAGTGAGTCAAAGATGGCCCAAGGAATAATACCCAGTTCTGCTCTCATTTAATCCAGAACATTTACCCTACTGGCTTTAAACATCCCTTTCCTCCTTCGTTCTCTGGTGGTGGTTCTCTTTTGAAAATGATCCTTCGCCAGCTGTGGAGTGAAGATGGATCCATGTTCAGAGTTGTGGAGAACTGTTGTTTAAAGGCCCCCCAAGGGGCCTGTTTCCATTGCTTACCTGCAAAGCCAATGTTTGAACCTGTGATGGAAGTCCCTTAGAGGCGTCTGCTGGGATTCCTCCCACCCGAGACTGCTGTAATTAGCTCTGCTAACAACTGTGATTGAACGGGGCTTGTTGTAGTCATTGTTCACTGACAGACACAGATAAGAGCCACATCTCAGCAAGTGGTGTTCTAAATGGTGTTTCCTGCTTGGTTAAACTCATGTACGGCACTTGTCAGCGATGCTATTCCCACACAAGGGTCATTGCCAACGCCTTCCAGGGCCCACGAAGATTCCCAGGGAATGCAGTGCCATGCAGTGGGAGAGACTGTTTCTATTTGACCTTGCCCAGGATCTGGCTGCCTCTCCTTCGTATGGAAAACATAGGTGTGGCCTGGCATGATTAAGGGAAAAGGCAGTCTTGGTCTTCTGATCCTGAAGACTCCCACATTTTCCGATCTCTCCTATAAGAACACTTGTAAATGAAAGTTATAATGTGTGGTACATGCAGCCTATGCTTTTCTGAGACTGTGCTCTTATTAGAAGCAAAACAAAATGCTGCTTATGAACACCTGCCGGTGAGGACCAAGCCAAGAGGCAGCGTGGGTGTTGGATGAGAGGTGTTGCCCTGGCAGTAAATCCAAGTTGCTCACACCAAAGGAAGTGTTTCTAGGGAAGCTATCTGAGCAAGAGGTAAATACTTAGTCATTCAGAGTAGGCCATAAATGAGTGCTTCTTCTCCAACAAGGGAGGGTCTGATTCCAAAGAGCTTAAAAAATGGTTGGATAGCATTTCTCTCTTCAATCCATCCTTTTATTCACAATATACATTCCTTTGTTAAGAAATAAAAGTCTCTGTAATCAAACTTTTGTTGGCAAGTTATTAGAGAACTATAATTTGTATGGGTGGTGTTATTTCAACCACAGTTTTTGCATTATGATTCTAAATAACTTAATAAAAAAGGACTCAGGCCCTTGTATGCTCTAAAATACTGTGCTGTATATATCCTGTGCCTTCTTACCTACTCCCCAGGGCCACCAAATTTTAAGATTCGACTTCTTAAGCATTTCCTCTCATCTGTCTCCTTGTTTCAGTGTTCAACGCTCTTGGCACAGTTGAGGGCTTCATCATCTCTTGCCTATGTGTTGCACAAGCCCAGCCTCCTCAATGGTCTCCCCTGCTCACTGGCCTCCCAACCCCATCTCCCATCCACCTACCTTATCACCACCTCCAATTATCCTTCCAAATCACGGGCCTGATCAGACCACTCACCAACCCATCATGGCTCTCCATTGCCTACAACAATGAAGACCAAACCACAGACTTCGGCATGGTAGTAAACGCCTTGCATCTAGTCTGCATGTACTGTACCATGCATATATCCTAAATCCCATGGATTCCAGATAACTGCATTTGCATGAAAGCATCATCACTTTGACTCTATCTCTGAGCCTTCTTTCCTCACAAAATCACCCTTTTTGTCTCAACTTAACACACATTACCTCCAGGAAAATTTCCACCCTTTCTTCCAATCCAAATTAATCAATCACTCTCTCCTCTAAGTTCGTACAGCACTAGATATATGTCTATGTATATATATGCTTTCCTGGGATATAATTCATGTACCACACAATCCACCGATTTAAAGGGTACAATTTAATGGGGTTTTTAAAGTATAGTTACAGAGTTGTATATCCATCACAATTTTAGAACATTTTAAATTTATTTTTTTTTTAGGGCACCTGGGTGGCTCAGTTGGTTAAGCGACTGCCTTCGGCTCAGGTCATGATCCCAGAGTCCTGGGATCGAGTCCCGCATCGGGCTCCCTGCTCAGCAGGGAGTCTGCTCCTCCCTCTAATCCTACCCCTTCTTGTGCTCTCTCTCTCTCTCACTCTCTCTCAAATAAATCAAAAATAAATTAAAAATAAAATAAAAATAAACTTATTTTTTTTAGATTTGAGAGAGAGAGCACGCATGCGAGAGAGAGACAGAGAGAGACAGAGCACAAGTGGTGGGGGGCAGAGGGAGAAGGAGAAGCAGGCTCCTCGCTAAGCAGAGAACCTGACATGGGGCCCGATCTCAGGGCCCTGGGATCATGACTTGAGCAGAAGGCAGACGTTTAACTAAGCCACCCAGGTGCCCCACGATTTTAGAACATCTTAATCACCCCAGAAAGAAACCCAGTACCCATTAAGAGTTCCTCCCCATTTCACCCTCCCCCAGCCCTAGGCAATCGTAATCTACTTTCTATCTCTATAGATTTGCCTATTCAGGACATTTCATATAACCGGAATCATGCAAAATGTGGTTCTTTGGGACTGGCTTTTTTCATTTTACATATTTTTTTCAGAGCTCATCCATGTTTTAGCATGTATCAGTACTTCATTTCATTATATTGTTGAATAATAGTCTGATGTTTGGATATACCAGGTTTTATTTATTCATTTTTCAATTAATGACATTTGGGTTGTTTCAACTTTTTAGCAATTATGAATAATGTCTCATCTACATTTTGATTATCATTCAGTATGTATGGCTTACTATTACAGGGTTTTTGTTTGTTTGGCCTGTGTCTTTTTTATCACTTGTTGATAAACTCCTATGGACAAAGAACATTATTTCACTCTGTAATTTCCACATGGCAAGTATTCAATAAATGTCTGACGGATGGGTGAATGGGCAGATATTAGAGTTTTTTTACTGTTGATTATTATACAAGGTACTCCAAATAAAAATATTAGAGTGGAATCAGTAATAACCCAAGAAAAGACACAATAAATTTACCCAGTATATTGTAACAAACATGGGTGGGTCTTAAATAAACTTTAATCTCGGCCCTATCTCCTGGAATTCCATACATGGATACACAGTTGAGTCTTTCAGGGAGGCAATTCCTTTGCTAATAACAGTTGTGAACTAGGTAGACAGAAGCCTGGAAGATGCTAGACTTTTTCTCCTAAATTGACTCCATGATGTCTTGTTGCTCTTGGCTTGTCTGAGGTTATTATTATAGTCTAGGATAGTGGTTCTCCATCCTGGCTGAGCATCAGAATCCCCTGTGGAGCTTTTACAAGATACAAATTATCTGGGTCCCGCCTCCCAGATTATGATTCTACAGCTTGGGTAGGGGCCCAGGTGCTCACATGTTCTCAAAACTATAAAGACATTTCTGATGCATAGCCAGGTTCAAGATTTCCTATATCAAAAGTTGCCCTGAGGTTAAAAAGAATTAATCATATAGAGTGTGTATGAGCACTTTACTCCTAGAGAGTATTTTACTCATCCTGGGATCATGCCCATTAATACTACCTAATGTTTATAAGGCACTTTTTATTTGGAAAGAGCTTTGCAGTCATCTTTTATTAGGTAGGCTTGCATGCTGGGTGACCTGGTACAAATCACATAATCCCTTTGTGTCTTAAATTTCCTCAAATGTAAACTGTTGGCTGTAATACTGACCCACCCTCAAGGGGTATTGTGGAGACTAATGGGGGACTTTAAGGCATTCAGCAAACATAAAAATAATTGCTTATTAGATAGGTATGAAGTCCTAGTCACAGCCTTTTAAAATGAAACAGATACCAAAATAAACTTGAGCCTTTCCTGCAACCTTCGTCATCATCTCAAAGATCCTTTCCCAACACCACAGTATGGCAATGCTCCCTTTGTGACTACAGTCACAAAGAAAGACAGAGCTAATCATGGCAGCAAATATGTAAAACATCCCTGAAATAAAGTTTGTTAACCTTCTCATTTATCATTCATAATGCAATTTAGAGATTATATCTAAAAAATACCCTCTTCTGAAAAATATTCTTAGAAAATATTTGTGCATGTTCACACAAGACTTGAAGCTGATGCTATATACTCACTGTTGATGTTAAGCCTGAAGGTGCTTTCTAGTTTGATGGTTGTTTTTTATATGGCTGTATTTAGCCTCTTCTCATCTCTCCCACGTGGCTGAAAGAATATATAGTCAAAACGAGACTTTGAGACCTAGTTCAAGTTGGAGGTGGGTGAGATTGCGAGGCAGAGTAAGTTTCCAACCTTGGAACCAAACACAGGTCTTGTAAGGATAGTGACCCACAACTAAGGGCTCATTTGCAATATATTTTCAGCTTCTTTGAAAAGGGAATCAGAAAACAGATGCGGTGTTTCCTTTTTCCATTTGGCTTTGAAAGGGCCACAAAACTTTAAAGGGCCAGGTCCAATTACATATTTCAATTCATTTACTGAATGGTTTCTGTGCCTCTGAATGGGAATTAGTACCCTCATGCCCACCACAACTGATTTGAGCTATGAACTAAATAAGCATGACCTTTCTGGGGACACTTGACCTTGACTGTGCTCTTTTTCTTTGGGCTCCTGAGGGTTTGGTTGTATTCCCAAGGGCAGCTGCCTGCTTTAGTTAAGCTCAGGCTCAGGACCTGCTAACAATTAAATTCTATTAAACAAATCTTTATTGAGTATTTATATCTGTGGATGGTATACTGTAATGCTTACTGTGGAGGCTACAAAAAGTTCCTTGAGATGCTCTAACTCAATGACCTTAGGTCCCTTAGACAGGACAACACCAACAACCTCCCCACAAAGACTCCCAAGGTTTAGTCACCTGACATGCCAGTTTTCAGAGGAATCCTAGATTGGCCTTCAGCAGACACCAAGATGAAATGTCATTAACTTCTCACACAATATTTTGCTACCTGCAGTACCTTGTCAGACCTTGTTCAGAATTCAGAAGTTCCTGTGAGAAGAGCCTCAGTGCAGGGAGTCTCACTGGTTGGGAAAGCCATCTGTTATGCATAGTTATTGTTTTTAAAATAAGGTTAACTCTAGCATGTTTCTACATCAATCATCTTTCAGAGTTTCAGGATTTTTGCTGAACATCTTAAGGGGAGAAAGAACCACACAGGCTTCATTTCAATAGTTAGGAGAAATTAATGCTAATACATGCCTTCAATGGGATTCACTTTGGTATCCTGAACATTTTCTTCCATCAATATGGAAAATCCCCAGAAGTATGTATTGTGGATTTTTTCTCTGTAAAGAGATGCAAATGGTTACAATAAGTTGTGTGATTTCCTCTGAGTCTTTCGAAGTTCTGTTTTTTCTTTATCTCAAGGTAAGCATCCCTACTTTGCAGATCTAGAAGCCAAGACAACATGGATTAGTTTCCTCACTTTCCTCAGTGAAACACAGACAACCTTGTCCCAGACCACTGCTCTCCTTGAAAGCACAGGAAAAACTTATGGCATTTTAAGACAGAGGAGAAATCAGATACAATTTTCTGGTCCAGTGCTTGTTTTCTGTGTCTTTCACATGGACTCCTTAAGATCTTAGATGATATTTAATGATCCTTACACATTAACTTTACTTTCTTTGAACTTCTTTAAGAAACAAACAAAAAACATGGAAAACACTCAACTATTTACTTGTGAATCTCTATGACTCGGGTCATAAAATACAATCCAGGCAAAGCCAAACAAGGCACTAGAGGGTTGAGAGACAAGGAGAATGTTATACATTGGATTTAGGATTTTGAAATGCCCCGTTTCAGTGGTTTCCCGATTGTCTTCACGTAGAGGGTCAACACTGGTCTCTCATTTGTAGCAGGTATTTTGCTCTAGAGGAAGACTTCTCTGACTGATCATGGACAGGGATTTTCCAAAGAAACTCTTCCACAAAACCAGATCAATGAGAAGCACCCTATTTAACAAATGTTAAAATTTTCAGTTTCACTTTTTATGTCACCTAAGTACACACCCACCTCCTGAGAGCATCTCTTTATTTCTTTACAGGAAGATTTAAATAAGCAATCTGTTTCCTTTCTAAGTATTTTTGGATTAACAATAATACTTCTCTCACTTGTATTTTAGTCCTGATGATTAAACAGTAAAAATGCTAATTAGTAGCCTGTATCTGGAGAGGAAAAGCTATTTCTTGATGGGCAAAATTCAAGCTGAGATGGAGACCTCACAGGGCACTACGATAAATGGGTTGGGCTGCATGCTAAGGGAAAGGATTAGGGACTGAATTGACCAACTCCAGAGAGAGATTCTGGCTTAATGGAAAGATTAAGCTGAGATCCGAATATATTACAGATACTCACAAGACTAAAGTTATCAAAATGCAGACATTTGTTATTAATTGGAGAGCACAGAAAATAGGGGGAAACATCCTGTGTCTTTCTTTTTGACCCGCAGCTGACTTTAGAAATCAAACAACCTACACGTTAAGAAATTCATTTTCTTTTTCTCCTACTTACTTTTCATTTCTGGAAAGACACTGAGCTAGGGTGAAGGGAACACAGTTAGATGGGCGTCGTGAGTACAATATATCAGAATCTGCACCCCTTCTTCCCATAAGTTCCTATGAGAAAGTCAAAGGTGATGCTTTCAAATTCCACATCTGTCAGTTATTAGCTCCATGACGGTGGGCAAGTCTGAATTTCTAAATACATTAGTTTTCTCATCCACTTGAGGAGGAAAAATAGTATCTCGTCGGAATGCTGCGAAAGTTAGAAAAGCCACTGTATGAGAAAACATCAGGAGACTAAGCGTATATTAGCACTCAGTACATGTTAGAATAATGAGGAAATGGAAGTCAGAGAGGAATCAAGCTCCCATTGCCCACAGGCTAAAATCTATATATTTAGCTGGGTATTCAGTGTGCTAGAAAATCTGCTCCTTTCTCCTCACCAGCCCTTTTCTGACAACTGTCCTGCTGAAGTCAAACATTCTCCAGTACGACTTGAATTTGCTTGCCTTCCTGTCTCTGTCTCTGGCATTCTGACCACCCTCAGCCTCCATCTGCCAAAATTCTACCCATCTCTCAAGGGCCACATATCCCACTATCTCCAGGAATCTTAGGGGACTCACCTTCTCCTCCTCTAAACCCTGGTCCTTACTGTCTAGAGACATAATCCACAAAACACTTACTGCCCCAGCAGACTCCCGGCAAGGAAGAAACCACAAATACGGTTTCCATCGCTGTGCACCCCACACCATGGTGCCTTGCCAAGGGTAGGTGCTGAATAGACTCGTGATTGAATAAATGCATGATTTCTCACCCTGCCCCTGTTGTGTTCTTGGACAAAACACTTTGCCTCCTTCAGTCTCAGCTGCCTCAGCTGTGAACAGAGGATAACAGCATGGATGTACTCCCCAGGTGTGCTGGGAAGAATAAACCAATGACTGAAGAGCAATTTGAAAATGTAAAATGAAATGCTATATATAAATGTTACATAATCAAAATCATTTCCTTCTGTATTATGTTTTATTTGGCTTTATATCTTGGGAGTCCTTTGTGGGTTTCAGAATCTCACAGATGCAAAACCATCCACATTAGCACCTAAATTCTCTTGGGTAATAAACGATTATGTGTATTATAGCTCACGGCTACTTTTCCCTGGCATACTTACACATGAATCTGTCATAATTTGGGGTATTCATAATAACTAATGATACAATTCATTTCTAAGGGATAATCCATTTTTTTCCTTCTTTAGCCAGTTACTGTTCCCATACTGCTGTCTCAAGGGAACTAACTTCCATTAAACCCCAAATCCAGATGATGAGCACACTGTTTGGAAGCCGAAATTGAGGAGCTTACAGTCTTGAGACCTGGAAAGTGGTTTGGGGTTTTGAAGCACTACTTGTTTTCTGTGGTTCTTTTTGTCCCCAATTCTGAATCCCTCATTCCCTTTATTATAATGTATGTGTTACCAAGTGCTCAAGGCAGCCTGATTTCCTAGGTGCCAGGAAAGATTGGATTAGCTCTTTCCACAGGAAAACAGGCAATGCTAGTTTAAAATACTATTACTAAAAGAGGCTTCTGACTTTTAGTCCACTGCAGGATATGAATCCTAGAATGGTCCCTCCACGAAGATAGCAACTCTGAGGAAGAAGAGACAGTAGTAACATAAGAGGGTGATCGTGAGCATCAAGTAATTCGATGAAAAGACATGGAACAGTGCAGGACACATGGTGAGTGCTCAGTAAATATTAGGAATTGTTGTCATTGGCAGATGGCCCACTATGAGCCCAGCCCTGTGCTAAGAGTTACAGAGAGCTTCTCAGTTGAGATTTATAACAAGCCAATGAGGAAAACTCAACACTCTTCATCCCCACCCCATTTGGCTCAGAGAAGCTCAGCACTCGTCCAAGGTCTCTAAGTTAGGAAGCAATGAAAGAAAATCCAACCTTCAGTCTATCGTGTTTCTAGAGCCCATATTCTTTGTCCCCTTTCTTAGAATACCCTACTATTCTAAGGGTTGGGAGTCTATTTTTCCTCCCTGGAGTACATGGACCCCTCCCTTTCCAAATTCCTCAGTGTTACTCATTCTGTTATGAAGTTTTAAAATTAAGAGTATTTTTTAATCTCTTCTAGTGGCCTTTTGGCCAATATGTGTAGTTTTATGTATCAGGCCATTTGTCCAAGACCATTCTAGTCTTTCATCAGACTTGTACTCATAGTGGCGTCGATTTTTAAAAAAAATAAATAAGTTCAGTGTAGTTTTTCTTCCATGTACGAGGAAATCCCATGTTTTTGCAGAACGGAGGTTTCCCTTTCCCATGCATTTCTGTGACCACATTTCTACTTGGTTGGACCTGTGGCAATAACCTGTGCCCAGGTTAGTGGCAATAACGCTCACAAGGGGCACGTGCACCGTCATTTAAATGCATGAGACATCATTGTTTTGTGGGTGGTAGCACCCTGGCTGCAGACATCGTGCCAGAGCAATCCCTCTGTTACAAAACATCTCCTAGCTGTGGTGTGCAAACTAACACCACACTTGAGTTTACAAAATCGCCTACATGATATTTTGTCCTCTATGCGGCAATTAATATTTCAAAGAGCCTTATCATGAGTTGTCTCTCCTCTCTGTGAAATTAGTCAGAAGTATCACTGCAGTTTCATAGTTGGGAAACTCAGGTATGGGAAGGTTGCCTGTACGGCTTGCCTGTAGTCTTACAACGAACCTACAGCTTAGCTGGTATTAGAATCTGCTGCTTCTCATTGCATTTCTTTGCTAAGGTCTTTAGCTCAGCCTGTTCAAATTCTGAATAATTTTCAAAGTGAATACATGTTCAGAGAGGTGGTGGAAATGGAAAAAGAGGGAAAGATAGTATTCACTTAAGCAAAGCTTCCAAAAACATTTGTTATCAAAGAACAAGGACTGTGAGGGCCCTTTTTCCTCATTTCCATTTATAGAATGAAAGGACGATAATCCAATGAGATTAAAATGAATAGAAATTCCAAGTGTAGAGAGGAATTGTTCTGTCCACACTATTTTCCTATTTCAACATCATTTTGTTCTTTTCAACAGTCACTACTGCTATAAATGTCATGCACTTGCAGTGCTTTGTAACCACTGTCACCGTGTCCCCCTTAAGCAACTAAACAGAGGGGGCCAATTCTGCCACTGTGGTTTTATGGTGAGGAAGCAAGAGTAAACGGAGGTTAAGTGATTGCCAGCAGCACTCCAAGCTCAGATCAGAACTCACGGCTCCTAGCAGTCACATCCCTTTGAAATTTAGAAGGTTCCAAAATATTGTTTCAATGTCAGAGATGGGTGACAGTGCCTGAAGGCAAATTTGCTCACCACCCACACCACCACAAATGGACCAGCCCTGCTTCCACGATTTCACATCAAACTTCTCATTCCCAAGCCATTCCACAAACTTCCTCATCCCTCTGAGGGAAAGAAATTTCCTTCAGTGAAACAGGTTAGTACTAAACAGGTGACTTCTATGTCCAGCTTTCCATGGTTTTCTGTTTGTTTCATACAGATAGGACTATAATGAGTTCTTACACAAGTAAGAGATCTCCTTTTCCCTTGTAGAATATGGAGATGGCCGAAACTCAAGAGATCATTGGGAGAATAACAGCCAAAGGAGTAAGTCTGTGCCAGAGGGATAAACTCTTGTCAAATACCAATTAAAACAGAAGATGGTATGAAATGTGAATGAGGGGCACCTGGGTGGCTCAGATGGTTAAGCGTCTGCCTTCGGCTCAGGTCACGATCCCAGGGTCCTGGGGTCGAGCCCCACACCAGGCTCCTGGCTCAGCGAGGAGCCTGCTTCTCCCTCTGCCTCTCTCCCTGCTCATGCTTTCTCTCTCTCTCTCTCTCTCTATCTCTGTGTCTCAAATGAATACATAAAATCTTAAAAAAAAAACTAAAAAAAAAAATGTGAATGAGTCTAGACGTGCTGTCTCCTATGTGTCATCCATTCGATAAAGGAAAATGAGACCAGTTACTTGTCCAAGAACCCATGGACAATGATGTCTGTATGAAACAAACAGAAAACCTTGGAAATCAGGAAACGGAAGTCTCTCGTCTAGTTCTGACTTATTTCATAAAAACAAATTTCCTATTTCCTTTTTTCATCATCTAACATAAATACTATATATAGCAAGTACAGTCAACAGCCGATGTTTGGCTCCTATTACCAAGGTGATTTTTAAAATAATCACTAGCATCTGTGAAAAACCTTCACAGGGTGTTAATATGATAAACACTGTTGGCAAACTTTTTCTCTAGTTATATTCAGGAAGAGGGGAAAAAAAGAATCCAAGGAAATGCATTTTTCCCCTGATCCTCCCATCCCAACCTAGGCAGAGACCTGGTGTGTATTCCATTCAGGTGGTCTACAGCTAATTCCTTGTGGGCAAATGCCATTCTCTAAGCAGCATGGTAAGCAACTGTTGCAACTGAATGGAATGGACTCCTTTGCCTGTACCCGTCTTTTGATCCACTAAATGAGGAGGGGTTTAAATACATGCAATTTCTGCATCACATATCAATTTTCAGGGCCTACTAAGGACTGTCCAGACCCAGATTTTCTTGCCTGACAGTCTTCCTTATGGGTCTTTCCCCACTGAGACAGGGAGCTGAGGAGGTGCCACTTGAAACTCAAACCAGGCCCGAGCTCACCTCAGAGCTGTAGCCTTCCCTGCTGGAGGGGCCATTTCACTTCCTTTCAGCTATAGGCCTTCTGCCTTCCCTCTTGCCAGGCAGTCTCATCAGAAATTGCTCAGGAGAGCTGAGCAGGTCCTTAGGAGGTCCTCCGGAGGGCCAAGCTGGCACTGAAATAACACCTGTAAAGGTCCTTGGTCCCTCACACATGAGAAACTAAAACCTTCAGGACTTCTGAATCTGAGGGAGCCAATGGTCAGTGAGGAAGCTGTCGGGGCACCAGACGGCCTGACCCTTTTCCTGCCCTGCTTAACTTCCTTTTACTAACATGGTTTGAGTGCCTATCTGATGGCAGGCGCAGTTCCAGGTACGCAGAGGCCGCTATGCACCCAAAGCTACGGTCTGGGGCTTGCTAAGATTCTAGGCCTCAGCCTGGAAAGCAACACCCAACCCTTTGCTTTTTGGCTTGTTACACCCACAGCTCCGTATGTGTGTATGCTGCAGCCAAGGTAAGGGCTTAAAAACAGGCTGAAGAGCCTCTCCGCCGACAAAAAGAGCGGCAGTGACCCGGCCGCCCAGAGCCCACAGAGCCTCCTTCTTCAGCCGCGACCGGCCCAGGGAGCTCAGGCTCCTCCGGTGCCCGCCGCTAGGAAGCTCCCGGAGCTCGGTCCAGGCACTTCGGAAGGGGCAGGGGCCGTGAACGTGCATCGTGGGACCAATGTGGCTCGCTCCGAGGTGTTCCTGCCCGCGAGGATGGGCGGTCCGGACCCTCTGGCGGACCCAAGGAACAGCAGCAGGAGGAGCCGCGCTGCGGCCGCCTCCCCACAGGGCAGCCCCGCCCCAGGTTGGGTCTCGGGGGCTCCGGCGCCGTCTAGCGCCCGAGCCTCCCTTCCACCCCCGGGCTCTGCCCAGGTGCCTCAGGCACTTCGGGTCGGGAAGGGAGCCTAGGCGCCTGGTCGGGTTCCCTGCCGCTGGTGGTAAGAAAGCGGGGCTGAGGAGGGGACGTGTAAATGAACTTTCCAGGAGGTCCGCAGAGTCGGAGTTTCGTTTCGGAGAGAACCACCAAACCGCAACCACAACCTTTTCCAAGGAGCCCGGAGCTCCCAGTTTCGGGCCCGGGCCTCCAACTGTGACAGTGTGATGCGGCCCGGGACTCACCCTCTTTGGGTCTCGGTTTCCTCCGACTGCTGGGGCTCCTTCGGGGCCGCCAAGTTCGGCGCCTCCCGCGGACGCCAGGTGTGGGCGTTGTCGACCCCGAGTCGGTCCGCGAGGCGGCCAGGCTTCTCGCTCCACAGCTCGCCGACACTCCGCGACCCCTAGGGGTCTCAGTGGCCCCAAACCTCTCTCAGCCAGGGCCTCCTGGGGCCGCCACTTCCCTCCCGAGGCACCCAGATCCCCGCGCAGCCGTCCCCACGGCGCCGGTCCGCAGCCCCGGTTCCCCACTGCAGCCAACTACCCCGCCGCCGGCGCGTCTCCGCGCCAGCCCTCGGCTGCGACCGATTGGACGGCGGCGGCGGGGCGGAGCCGGGCGCTCGGCCCGGCCCGCGGCCGCCCGGATTCCTGGAGTCACCGCGATTGGCTGCGGGCTCCGCCAGTCACGGGTTAAAGGCGCCCCGCCCCCCCCGCGGGGGCCGGCCCAGGACTGGCTCCGCCCCGCCCGCCGCGCGGCCCCGCCTCCCTCCGGAGCCCGGTAGCCTCAGCCCGGCGGTCCGCCTCATTCGCTGAGCAGGTCCATGAATTGTCAACGCGTTCCGGGCGGCTGCTGAGCCGGGGCGCCCGCCGGGCTTGTCGTGCTCCCTCGGAGGTACCTGCCCGAACCGATGTGCGGGGTTCGCTAGGGCGAGAGCAGTCGCCGGTTCGCGGCAACTTGGGATTCAGGACCCGCAACAGGGGCGTCGGTTTGCGATCCGGACTCAGCGAGGAGGGTGAGTGGCCGCGCGCGAGGCGAGCGGCTCCTCTTGGCGCTGTTCGGCGAGCGGGGGGTTGGGGGGGAACTGGACGGGTCTTGGCGGGCGTCGGTGCGTCCGTCCGAGCGTGGCCGCTGTGGGGAGGTCAGGGCCAGGTGGGATTTACTCCTTGCGGGTATCCCCACTCCCGAACTTGTTTCAGAGAGTCGCAACTCGGTCCGGGACGCGGCTCTGCGTTCTCACCAACTTGGCATGTTATAATTGCCATCATTAGGTGGGGCCTGGGGACGCGTCCCCTCGCCCTCTGCGGCGGCGACACGCGCGCTGGGGGCGGCGTCCGTGCAGTTCCTAGATGGCTTGAGGACAGGTTTCTGAAAAATTAACCCCGCGCGGGAGGCGGTGCGGCGCGATGACCCGGCGGAGGTGTCTGATCCGTAGCCTGAGCCAGCGACCATCGTCTTTGGGGTGGGTCTTCAGCGGTCAGAGAACTTAAGTGACTAGCTAGGTTCTGTAAGGGGGCGTCAGTGCTTTGCAATTACTGAGAGGAATTGACAGCACGGATATTAAACTTTGTAAAGTAATTACTTTCCTATTAGCACTTGTATCCACATCCCTCATGAGGTGCTCGGACCTCCACATCACCTGCAAGCTGTGTCCGAAGCACTTCCTTAGGACCAGGGGGAGCTGCTGTCTGTCCCAGTGCAGGGAGCCCGGGAGAATGCGAGACGAGACCGTGAAAGGGACCACCAGGCTGGTCGGTTGGTGTTTAAGTGATGAAGTTGTGACAGGAACTGACAACACAGGATTCAAGGTTAAACCTGACACTTCGTCTGTGACTCAGTCTGGGATATTTTTCCTCTCTCTGTCGTAATGATAAGGGCTCAAAGCAGCTGGTTTTTCTGAGGGCAGTTACATACATGTAGTTTGTATTATGTGTGGACCAAATAAAATTAAATATAATATTTTCTTGTAATTCTTCTTGGATGTGAATGAGAGCTTATTGAGCGTCCTAGAGACTTGGGGTACACAATTTGGGAATATTTTGATCTGTGAAAATATATAAAAACGTTGAGAGATATGACTATTCATGCTTGTATATGCATATGTAGATGTGCGTGTGTGTATAAAATTGATAGGTGAATAAGAAATATATGGAGGGGGAAACAGCCTTGAACTTGCTCTGGTGGGGGGAGATAGACCCTCCGATCTATGGGGTGTATGATGAAGGTGTGCGTATGCATGTCTGAATCTGCCTGGTCTGTCTGGATCAGTGTATATGTCCATGAACTTTACGAGCATTTAGTTCAATACCATTCGGTGCAGATTCCGAGTTCCTGTTTTATAGCCCAGCAGCCGCCAGCCGGCCCATCTGTTAAAACATAACATGTACACTTCAGTCACTTCAGTTGGAGCACTAGGGTGGAGCGTGGGTAGGGGGCAACCCTTAGTAGGAACAACATGCTACAAACAAAGACTGCCTCTCAAGTTCTATTTTCATTCAATATTCAGCCTGTACTTGTGATTTGGTGAGGAAGAAAAGGAGTGTTTGACTCTTCAGGAATGGCAAACTACATTTTGTGAAATAATTTTAGCCATGGTTTGGGGAAAGGGAGTTTATAAGAGAAAAAATGAAATCCTTCTAGAAAAGAAATGTGGTGCTTGTCACATTACCATGCAACACTGGTTTACTGCTTTGCAGTAGTATGTATATCAGAAACTGTTTTCTTTTGCTTCTTAAGAGAATGCATTAAAACTGAATTGTTTTGCACCAAAAAAAAAAAAAATCCTTAATAGAAGTAAACAGAGCTTTATTGCAGAGGCTATTTAATCTACTAGAGTTAAGACTGCCTTAGTAATTCTAATGAAACATGTTTTTAGGAATTTATAACCTGGATATAAATTCATGTTCAGCCTAATCACTGGTTGCAATGGTTCACAATTTATAGTTTAAGAAATAATGAAAGGCCTTTATCACAAAAATTCTGATGACTAAAAGGGTATGGGAGGAGTATAACAGCTTAATAAGTTCCTGCAGCCAAGTAACTGATACTTAAAAGAAGTATAAATTCCTTTAATAACATAATTACTTCTGGTGACAAAATAAGGGCAATATTTTTGAGAGGCATAGTTGATATTTTTCCCAATAATTTTATGCTCATAATTACATTTTAATAATGGTGTTTATTATTTATTATATGTGGGCAGAATAAACTGGAATGTTTCTTAAGAACTCATCACAAGAAGTATTGTTTTAATTTTTATGGCAATTAAAACATTTTGGGGAAAATATGCCTATCTCTAATCTGTGAGTGTATTTAAATTTCTGATGGACTACAAAGACAAAATAATTCTCCTGCCTTGATATGGATCATCGGGATCAACTAGGTTGGTCCTTAGAAATTCAGTTTGAGGGCTGGACTCTGTTCTCTGGGATTTGATTCAGGAGTCTAGGGTGGGGTTTAGTAATCTGTATTTTGAACAAGCACCCCCCAAGTGATTCTGATCCCAGGGTTCCCTTCACCACATTTTGAGAAACAGTGGAATGGTGTTTATGATATAAAAGGATGATCATAGTCTGTGGGTTAATTTAACAAGTAATTGTTCTGGTATTTCCAGATGGCATTTACCAGCCTTATGAAATTTATAGGCAACATTCTTTAACACCCTGTCCTCAACAATGGCACCTTTGGTTCTGTGTTCAGAAGTGTTTTTGGAATCCTCGGCTATCTCTATTCCAGGTTAGCCCCAAGTCTAAGGAAGTCTCTCTGGAGAAGCAAGGTAATTTGCTCCCCAGTCTTAGTCCCTCCGTTCTGTATTCCAAGTCCAGTGGGTTTCTGGGGTGCCCTCAGGGGACTTTGCCAGTCATAACTCACATGGTTGGACATTTCTCCCTGGAGAATAGAAGAATCTCAGTCCTCGGGAGCCAACTTTGACTCCAAAGCCATTCCAGGCTTGGAGATTAGAACTTCAGCAGGACTAGTACCCGATTTACCCAAGATCGGGGATCTCCTTGGGAGGCCGTAGCTGATCTGCCTTAGTCAGGAAAGTGTCCTGGGCCAACTGTCCAGAGACCTAGGTGTTCCCATGTTCCGCGGCTCATTGTAGAAGTATTTTGAGCTGCCCTATTAATTGGATAGATAGATCTTTCAGCATTGTGGAGAGATAGGTTGAAAATTGATTTGCTACTTCTTTTTTCAAATCAGTGGGAATTTGGACTTATTAATGATTGCCTATCAGTTTTTATTTATAGTTGGATACTGACATTCAGGCTCTATTCTCCCATTTCAGACTGGCATAATTCTCAATTTAAAACTTCTAGGTAAGGTTTTAAAGAGAAAGGATCTATCAGAAGTTGTTGCCCCTTCCCCCTTTGTACCTCCATGTACTTAAAAAACCTAATGATGTCTCAGAGGTCAGAAGTGCCTGGAATATTTACACACCTGATGACAAAAGGACGTGGAGAGGCTGAGACACTGAACTTGGATTGTTCCAGGCCACTGGATCATTACTGGGACTTTCACGGAGCAATTTCTGTTTTAAGAAACACTTGGCAGGCATGTTTATAGGTCACTTATCTTAACAATCCTTTGAGTACAATGATCCTTTTCCCACTTTGTTACAGATGAGCAAACAGGAGCCGCAAAAGAATGATAATATTTAGATCCTGTCTTTCACATTCAAAGATAACACCAATAACTGAGAAATTGGCCTTGCATTTGAATTATTTTTATTTAGCATAGTGGCGATAGGATTATGCTTAGTCATTCATATCATCTACGGTTTGTTTTTTTTTTTTACCTCTTTCTTCAAATTTATTTTTATATTAAATGTGACCTTGAAACAATTTTCTTTATAAAGTTTACCACCCATATATGATAATTGGTTCAATGACCCTAACCTTAACCAGCCAGGCTTGACCCAGAATGGCAAATAATTTGCTAAAGGTCACAGAGCACAATGGCAGCAAAGCCTGTATGTAGAATTCTTTGGACTCATTATTTTAGACCTGTACGACGTTGCCTATTGAGTCCTCTTATGCTGCTAGTAATGTTTTTATGCTGGCAGAATAGAGTTGTTTATATTTCATTTGCCCAGATTCTGCATGATGAATGGACCTAGAAAATTTTAAAAGCCTAATGTATAATCACAGCCCCTGACTGTACAATGGGATTTGTGTGCCTACTTAAAAAACTCTAGAACTAGAATGCTACTTTTCTTGAAACTGGGCCATGGGTCACTGCAAGTTTTTAAGCAACAATTCTTTTTTTTTTTTTTGGCCATGGCATACTTCTGACAAAATTCTTTGGTAAAAGGAATTTGACAAAGGCTTTTCTAGTTTTCTACCCTTCTTTCCCCACTCCTATTTCCATGGCAAAACCTACCTATAAAATATTTACTTTTCAAGTCAGTCTGCCCCTTTAACATCTCCTAATACTTAAATGTTAGCCATTTTGACTATTTTCCTTCCAACATGCCCTTATCGGGCTTCGACCTTCACTTCATAGTATTTTGGGCCTAGTCACATCCTC